AGTATAGAATTGCGGGGGTTGTAAATTTGTTGTGGGTCAAATATTTCTATTTCCTTGATCGATTCTGATTAAATGATGTACAAGCAACCCTTAAATTGTCAATTACATGTAAAATCCCACCCCGTTTTGGAAATTCGTAATTTTTATTAAAATTCGCTCTTACCTACTTAGCAGTATAGAATTGCGGGGGTTGTAAATTTTGTTGTGGGTTAAATATTTTTATTTCTTTGATCGATTATGATTAAATGATGTACAAGCAACCCTTAAATTGTCAATTACATCTAAAATTCCACCCCGTTTTGGAAATTCGTAATATTTATTAAAATTTGCTCTTACCTACTTAGCAGTACAGAATTGCGGGGGTTGTAAATTTTGTTGTGGGTCAAATATTTCTATTTCCTTGATCGATTCTGATTAAATGATGTACAAACAACCCTTAAATTGCCAATTACAAGTAAAATCCCACCCCGATTTGGAAATTGGTAATTTATATGGAAATTCGCTCCTACCTACTTAGCAGTATTTACTTGCGGGGGTTGTAAATTTTGTTGTGGGTCATATATTTCTATTTCCTTGATCGATTCTGATTAAATGATGTACAAGCAACCCTTAAATTGGCAATTACAAGTAAAATCCCACCCCGTTTTGGAAATTGGTAATTTATATGGAAATTCGCTCTTACCTACTTAGCAGTACAGAATTGCGGGGGTTGTAAATTTTGTTGTGGGTCAAATATTTCTATTTCCTTGATCGATTCTGATTAAATGATGTACACGCAACCCTTAAATTGCCAATTACATGTACAATCCCACCCCGTTTTGGAAATTCGTAATATTTATTAAAATTTGCTCTTACCTACTTAGCAGTACAGAATTGCAGGGGTTGTAAATTTTGTTGTGAGCCAAATATTTCTATTTCCTTGATCGATTCTGATTAAATGATGTACAAGCAACCCTTAAATTGACAATTACAAGTAAAATCCCACCCCGTTTTGGAAATTGGTAATTTATATGGAAATTCGCTCTTACCTACTTAGCAGTACAGAATTGCGGGGGTTGTAAATTTTGTTGTGGGTCAAATATTTCTATTTCCTTGATCGATTCTGATTAAATGATGTACAAACAACCCTTAAATTGCCAATTACAAGTAAAATCCCACCCCGATTTGGAAATTGGTAATTTATATGGAAATTCGCTCCTACCTACTTAGCAGTATTTACTTGCGGGGGTTGTAAATTTTGTTGTGGGTCATATATTTCTATTTCCTTGATCGATTCTGATTAAATGATGTACAAGCAACCCTTAAATTGGCAATTACAAGTAAAATCCCACCCCGATTTGGAAATTGGTAATTTATATGGAAATTCGCTCCTACCTACTTAGCAGTATTTACTTGCGGGGGTTGTAAATTTTGTTGTGTGTCATATATTTCTATTTTCTTGATCGATTCTGATTAAATGATGTACAAGCAACCCTTAAATTGGCAATTACAAGTAAAATCCCACCCCGTTTTGGAAATTGGTAATTTATATGGAAATTCGCTCTTACCTACTTAGCAGTACAGAATTGCGGGGGTTGTAAATTTTGTTGTGGGTCAAATATTTCTATTTCCTTGATCGATTCTGATTAAATGATGTACACGCAACCCTTAAATTGCCAATTACATGTACAATCCCACCCCGTTTTGGAAATTCGTAATATTTATTAAAATTTGCTCTTACCTACTTAGCAGTACAGAATTGCAGGGGTTGTAAATTTTGTTGTGAGCCAAATATTTCTATTTCCTTGATCGATTCTGATTAAATGATGTACAAGCAACCCTTAAATTGACAATTACAAGTAAAATCCCACCCCGTTTTGGAAATTGGTAATTTATATGGAAATTCGCTCTTACCTACTTAGCAGTACAGAATTGCGGGGGTTGTAAATTTTGTTGTGGGTCAAATATTTCTATTTCCTTGATCGATTCTGATTAAATGATGTACACGCAACCCTTAAATTGCCAATTACATGTACAATCCCACCCCGTTTTGGAAATTCGTAATATTTATTAAAATTTGCTCTTACCTACTTAGCAGTACAGAATTGCAGGGGTTGTAAATTTTGTTGTGAGCCAAATATTTCTATTTCCTTGATCGATTCTGATTAAATGATGTACAAGCAACCCTTAAATTGACAATTACATGTAAAATTCCACCCCGTTTTGGAAATTCGTAGTTTTTATTAAAATTCGCTCTTACCTACTTAGCAGTACAGAATTGCGGGGGTTGTAAATTTTGTTGTGAGCCAAATATTTATTTCCTTGATCGATTATGTTTAAGGGATCTGACAGGCGTTCCTTCATATGTGTAATGTTTTGTGAGTACGTTACACGCAAAGACCACGCACGCAAACAAAAAACTGGCGGGAAAAATTCGTCATCTTCATATGATACCTTATTACTTACACCTGTGCGTCTCACTCATATCCACCATCACACCTTCTCACTTACACCAGTATTGTGTCGCTTCGTGCCCTGCAGAAGTCGATGTAACGTAAATTTGTATTACGGCAATGTAATCCAAACACTTTTGCGATCTCAATGGAATTATTCCCCTCCGGTTTTCGACGTTTTGGTATAAATGGGCGTCCGAACCCGGACGCGAAATTAAGAACTACGATTAAAGGGATGCTCAATGAGACGCCATTTGAAATCAGTTTTGGTAGGTAGATTGCTCGAAGCGCTTGAAGCATGAAAGGAATAAAGAAGGGATAAGAGGTTATGGTTAAATACCTTTTAAATCTCTCTACCTCAAGAAATTCGCAGCAAATCGCTTGTAACTTCTGTAGGTGTAGGTACAAGAATATTCATTGGAATATGAGACCTGCTCATGATCTACTTCAGATCAATTTATCAATAATCCATCAAGAAATAAAAATATTCTGACCACAACAAAAATTTTACAACGCCCCGCAATTATATACTGCTAAGTAGGTAGAGACGATTTTCATATAAAATTACGAATTTCATAACGGGGTGGGATTTTACTTGTAATTGGGCAATACTATAGGGTTACTTTTCGGATCCTTAATCAGAATCGATCAAACAGGGAAACATAAAAATATTTGCACCGCACAACAAATTTACAACCCCCGCAAAATGAATATTGCTAGTGGGTAAGAGCGAAATATTCATTAAAAAAATTACGAATTTTCTAAAACGGGAATGGGATGTTCCTTGTAATTAGCAAATTATAAGGGTTGCTTGTAGTACCTTTAATATAATCGAGGCAAGGAAATGATAAATATTTTGACCTCAACAAAAATTTACAACCCCGCAATTGAAATACTGCTAAGTAGGTAAGAGAGAATTTTCTTAAAAATTACGAATTTTCCAAACAGGATGGGATTTTACTTGTAATTAGCAATTTAAGGGTTTGCTTGTAATCATTTAAATCAGAATCGAATCAAGGAAATAGAAATATTTGACCCACAACAAAATTTACCAACCCCCGCAATTCTATACTACTAAGTAGGGTAAGAAGCGATTTTAATAAAAATTACGAAATTTCAAAACGGGGTGGGATTTACATGTAATTGACAATTTAAGGGTTGCTTGAATACATCATTTAATCAGAAAATACGATCAAGGAAATAGAAATATTTGACCCACCAACAAAATTTACAACGCACACGCGCCAATCTGTACTGCATAAGTAGGTAAGAGCGAATTTTAATAAAATTACGAATTTCCAAAGCGGGGTGGGATTTTACTTGTAATTTGGCAATCTAAGGGGTTGCTTG